AGAACTGCACGTCCAGTTTGGATTTACATAGTACCCTAAAATCCCATAGATAAGAGCGGTTTAATTTACCGGTGAAAAATGAATTGGAATGAAATTGAAATTGAATGCAGTCACCCCTCTAACTTGATGGATGGATAAATAAAAATCGGAGAAGAAGTTTAGAAGAAGCTCCGCCCCTCAACTCTAAACCCCGCCCACTTAATAAACAATTCATATAGAAAAATAGCGATTTTAACGGAATTTCTGCCGGAATCTCTCTAGAAATGCCGGAATTTGATCTCTGGATAGAACTTGAAGAGCCCATTCGATCAGTAAAATTCCATAGATAAGAGCGGTTTAATTTACCGGTAAAAAATGATTTTGAAAAAATATTTTTATTTTTATTTTATTTTTGAAAAAATATCTATGGACCGCTCTTATCTATGGGATTTTAGGGGTATATTCTATCGTATAATTTCGTTAAAGTTGGAATGGAAGTAGTTGAGAGTGCAACATCTGCCATGGCGCGGTTAACAATGATTCTGAATGAGTTGTTTCGCACTTGCACCGACTTACTGCCACCAACGGGGTTGAAAATTTTAAGAAGAATTCACTTTGAGTTGCGGGAAGTTATACGAAAATAGGAGACTAGCATTTGTAGTTCATATTGCTCAAAGCAGCGATTACGATAGTTTGTAGGAGGGTTCAGGGAGACCAGGTGGTGCTCAGTGGTACGCCAGTGGCGAAAAAGCAGAGGAATCCGGCAATGAAACGCTAAATGGGCCTGTTTGGGCCTTTGGCTTCCACCTAGGAACAAGGATAGAAGATTAGAGGTCGGCAAGCATAAATTACTTCAACGCCAGCTGCAATGCTTATCTACCTCGTTAGAGCCCCGAAGTACATTCTGCTTGAAAATTGGGATGACTACCCGCCTCATATATATCCCAGAAAAGCTCAATTCGAAGCACAATTTTTACGCTTGTCTTTTCTTCTTTTTTGTTAAACTGACCTCATGTCTCATGTTTCAAGCTTTTCGCCCTCGCCGATCAGAAGTTCGAGGATGTTCGCTTGACCAGGGAAGCCTTCGCTCCACTGAAAGAGTGTAGGTATTCTTATTCGGATTGATTTTGCTCAAGGAATCGATGCACTATTTTCAGCCATGCCATTCGGACAGATGCCAGTGCTCGAAGTTGATGGTAAAAAACTGGCCCAGTCATTGGCCATCAACCGCTACTTGGCAAAGACCTTTGGTAAGAGAGTGATTGAGAAGAGAATGGTCCGTGATCCCGGATCAATTTCAATTTGGTAGGAAGTCCCGCTAGGCTGGTCCCATGCGATTTCATCGCTTTGTAGCATATCATGTCGAGCTATGGTCGTGGTCTTTGACGGCCGTGTCGTTTTGATTTTAAAAGAACACACGGAAATGTCCACAGAGTGGAATTGGTCACTCTCAAACGACTTTGAGCTGCAGCTCATACAATTTTTCACCCAACGTGGGGGTACAATATTGTGGACTCATCTCATTCTCACTCCTTGATAAGCCTTTCAATAAGCCTTCAGACAGGAAAAATCAGGGGATCCATTTTTGGATTGATGTGTCCGAGCAGACTCATACCTTGAGGAGTCAACTTGTTGCATTCCTCCCCGGTCTGAATGTAATGTGCGATCAAGCCTACGAACTCCGTGCATGAAAAATTAGTTCAAGAAAGGAAGGCAGACCTTCAAAACTTCACCTATCGGAAGCATTGAAAAGGTTTGCTTGCTTTTGCCGTCAATTCCAAGGAACTGCCGTTTTGATGTATGTTGACTTTGAGGCGCAACCCAGGCAGAAGTCATGCGAACGACTCTCCTGGGCAGTAGGATAGAACCCTAGAGAACACCGCACGTATAGCACTTCAGTATATGGCAAGGCCTGGCAAGGGCTCTAGAGCCTTGGAAAGCTAGCTGCAGCAGCTGCAATGTTTCCTGCCCACATCAGGCTGTTGTCTGGCTCCTCTCATCTGTTGCGCTCCTTCGCCTCATGCCCTCCTCTCTGTGCTCGGTCTCTCGTTGCCTTACCACAGCCGCATGTCGACGATGAGCGAGATCTCGACATTGACGTTTTTGACAAAACCATTACCTTTTTTATCATTTTCCACAAACTGCGCGCTCGTTTCTTTT